ATGACATGTGTATTGTTTTCATAAATCTTACGCATGGTGATGACCACCTGTAATTGGCTTACATTTTTCACCGCATATATTCAAATCATATGAGGCCATTTGCATATATTGTATCAATTGATCATACTCTCCACCAAATGACAGGGTTATCTTAAGAAATAAGGCTATTCTAGCGTTTCCTCATAAATTATGCAAATGAGGTCCTGATTGACATAAATTATGTTTAGTGATGTTCACCTTCACTGAACTTCCAATTATGGCAAGTATTAAATTCCCAGCAGTTACCACCATAAAATTGTACCAATTTGCCATTTATTATGCAAATTAGGTCTTCCTTTACATAATCGATATCTGCCAATGATCTTGTCGTTCTCACTAACATATGTCTATAGAGTTTTATAGCCCTAATATGAAATACAGCTGATTTATAGAATTTCCTCATTAATTATGCAAATTAGATCCTGATTTGCATAATTATATTTTGATTATGTCAAGCATCACTTAAGCTACCTATATACCAAAAATCATGATGATCCATCAAACGGTTGTTCAGTTATCCTCACTCGAAGATTTTCAAAGAAACCACCCTGTAGTTCCAGAACAAGCCGCTAGGGGGACCAAACTCACGTCACTTCTTTCCGAGGACAAGATCTACCTTCCATCCAAATTTCATGACCCTAGCATGTCCAGATCGCGAGATATCAAAACCGGAAGTTGCGCTGCAGTACCAAGGGAAGCCACTAGGGGGCCCAAAATCTAATCATTTCCAGTTTTCGTCACACCCTACCAACACACCAAGTATGAAACCAATCTATCCAGGCGTTCTTGAGTTATCTTGTTGACCAACAGACGGACAGACGGACGGACAGATAAACGCAACTGAAAATATAACCTCCATGACACATTTCATGGAGGTAAATATAACCTCCATGACGCATTTCATGGAGGTAATGACCACTTTTAGTGGCCCCTTAGATAATTTTCCAATTGGCACGAACAATAAGAGTGCTGTTTATAGTGGCCACCTGTCCACAATGACGACATAAGTCTTTTTTGAGGTCTTTTTGAGTAGGTTTGATTATAAGGTCCTACGAAAATTTCCTTGCGACTGTGTCTTCCACATTTCAATGTAAGTATGTTTGCAAATGGAAGCGACACATGTTAGTTAATCCATTGCCAAAGCGATTACGCGTTTTACCTTCTAGCCTGTAAGCCAGACGGTTATAAGGATCAGTACATGGGTTAGCTCCTGTGTTAGACCCTCATCAGCAGTAGATTAAAAAATTATAGCTCTAGACATGACGAAGTTTTTCTGTGTGCTTTTTGGCCTGATTTGAACTGAATGGAATCTGTGGTAGAATGGCCTTGGAAACTTGCTGACCCTAGAGCCGAAGAGCTAGCCTAATCTCCAAGCAGATTATACAATGGCAAGGGAATGCCCACTGGCAATCGGTGGACAATGGACAATCCTCTTGAGTCTGGCCATTGAATACTGCCTTTGAATTCGCCACCGTATAATCTGCTCGGGGATTAAGCCTGTATACTACGGGACTTTGCCTTCGCCGGCTAATTGGCCAATTACGCTCTGTTAACAATGCACCGCATTGACCAACAATAATCGTTTGGAGTTTACTTAGAGCATGATTAGAGGACGCGTTTTCTTGAGACCAATTCGAGATATCGGACAACCAGTTCATACAGTAAAGCTCAACATTACAATCTGACGTAAGGCCAAAGCTATCAGTTGCTTCCTCTTTAGAGAATCGCTGTAAAGACCCAGTAAAGTTTAGGTATCTGTGTCGGTTCTAGGTGCCACAAGGAAACGCCACAAGGAAACGCCACAAGGAAACGCCACAAGGAAACGCCACAAGGAAACGCCACAAGGAAACGCCACAAGGAAACGATTTGTACCGAGAATCGCTGTTAAGACTGACTCATCTTTAGTTCATGTGTCTGTGTACATGTAGGGGCCAGGTGTCACAAGGAAACGCGACAAGGAAACGATTTGTACCGAGAATCGCTGTTAAGACTCACTCATCTTTAGCTCAGGGGATTTTGTAGGTTCTTTTCATGCGGTGTCACACCATCACATTTGACCAATGACGATTGTTCATTTGAAGGACGTTTTCACCAATGTAATAATAGTATGGTATATATATACCTGAGCACTGTAAAGTTAAAGAGTGGACAGCGAGCTGTTATGAACCAACTTCGCTTCACCAACAACACTGAACCAGTAAGTACCTGTATTTGTCCGTTTTTCTATTTTATTGCACCTGCAATATATTTAACTTACATCTGACAACTTTCCGCATCGTTTCATCGTTTCGTTGAAAGTACCAAAAAACAATAACTTGTCCGTAGACGCTAACTTGGTCAGATTCACAACTTTTGGGGACGACAGATCAGGGATTATTGCTGTGTCTGCTCATTTAGAGGTCCGAGCCGAGGTTTCTTGCCATGTCTGTGCTATACGTTTTTATGGTATGTTGCCGAAAAAGGCAACCCTATGTTTGTCAAAATTTCACATGTCTTGAGCGCACGTTTTACCGCCCCACCGCACAGCTTGTCGTATCGTTCCGTTTGAGACGTCGAGATGCCTCACCATTGTCGCGGTCAAAGCCTCTCTGTCCAGTGTTAAACGTATCCATGACATCATGTTAGTTGTTTTTTTTCGTGACGTTTGACTTGAAGAAGTGGTTTTGACACAGTGGTTTTGACAACACGATGACAACTCCGAAGTTGTATATGGCTAACCCAATAGTAATACCCCCCCCCCCGGTAACTACGACACGCTTCAGACTTCGAACTTTTTCATTGATTTTACGGTCAAAGCCTGAGATTTGACACACACTTAAGGTAGATTATTTGTAGATTATATTTCTGTGGGCATCTCGATGGAGTTTTGTGAAATGATAGACCTTTTGTAATTTGATCATAGGCTTCAAACACGAGTGCTTTCTTTCTTGATTGTTGAGAATAAATGAACTGAAACGAATCACGGCGCCAGTCTTGGCAAAAAGAGTACCATTACTATCAAGGCATTCTCTGTCATACAGGGATCGACTTACCATTACTAATTATAGACGGGAACTTGTCCAATGTCTTATTCCTTTTCAAGAGCATTCGTGGTTTTACTCCACTAATATCACTCCATTGATATATCTCGTTTTGTTAAAGTTAATGTACCTAGTAGATCCCTACGCTCCACCTACCAATTAAAATTTGCTGTGCGTCTATGTAAAACTGAAACATTCACCTTCTCATATTTCAGTCGTATTGTACTCATCTGGAACACTTTACCTGTAACAATTCGTCAACACATGTACTCAATCCTCAGTATCTCTTCTGTTAGGAAATTATTACTTAACACTCTTTGACTTTGATTTGTATTATTGACACGTTCAAACTATTTTTGGGTCAATATCGAGATCATGGTTTTTAAGTCTAGGGTGCACACAGAGGTGAATTGGCAGGTTATATTTCAGGCAGAATTGGAATTTTCTGCCAAGATTTAGTACAAAACTCCGGCCTGAAGTAAATTAAGAGTCATGTAAGGACAACGGGGTACGTGCGCGGAGCAGGGGGCACACAATCATTTTGGTCCGTTCAGCTGAAAGCTGTTGGACAGGGAGTTACGCCTGTTTAAAAAAGAAGATAACTTTAATTTTACTGCAGAACCTGCTCAACAGCGCCACATCTCGTTGCAAAAGTGCAGGACAGCATGCTGAATATGCAGTTTGCGGATGCGCGTTAAGATTATTGTTTTTTTAATCTTTTTGACTAATGACATTGTGAACTTGAAGAATGACAGTATCCAATCCCTAATTGCTGATGTGTTTTTAGGTGCTGTACGCCGACACGATGGCGGGTCCGTGTACATCCGGGTTCTGGAGCTGGCTTGTTCTGGTGCTGATGGCGACGACTGCAACAGTCAGTGGGCAAGGTAAACCTTGATTTCCATGGATATATCATTAAAAATCCTGTTAGTGTGGGGATATGGATCTTCTCTTACGTCATTGTTGTTTAGTACACGACTTAACTTGGCATTCGGTAATGTTCTTGGGAGCGGACGATTTGCCTTCATTGGCATTTTGTGAATGCGCTTTATGCACGTCTTCAAGATAATCCTATTCCTATCATTTACAATTATCAATTTGTGTCATCTTTGAAATACAATATTTGTGTTTATTTTGCAACATGCCCAAAGCAAATCTGACTTACACTTTGAAATGAATGATATACTAGTACATGTAGTCAATGTTATAAGTACAATCAATCATTATTATGTACAACAATTTAGTTGATGAATGGCAAGTACATGTTTTATTAGCCCACTTATTCTCGTTACCTTTTTCTACAGTGTGCCCAATAGCAGGCTACGTCCGTTTTAACGGAGTTTGCTACAAGGACTTTCCTGAGCTGAAGACGTACGATTCGGCTAGACAGACGTGTGCTGCGGACGGGGGACTGCTGGCCATGCCGAAAAACAGCGCAATCAACACCTTCATTCACAACCTAACAGAAGCTGGACTACGCTGGATCGGGCTGACTGACACCGACAACGAAGGGCAGTGGGTATTTGCTGACGGTCAAACCCTTGAGTCTACCGGCTATACCAACTGGTACCCCGATGAGCCGAACAATGTTAACGGGGGCGAACACTGTGCCGTGACCAATTTTCGATCCACCGATGAATGGAATGATGAACAGTGCAGATTCCCCATGGGATTTATTTGTCAGTTAGGTATGTCTTATAATTGAAATAAAAAATATCCATCGGTGGTCGTTTCCTAGATAGACAGCAAGGTAGCGAAACGTGATCAATTAATCATTTCATATCGCTGTATACTTATTATAGAGACTTGTCGTTTTTAGCAGTATGCATAGAAGACAAAGCGACCTGCACTGCGTGGGGAGATCCACACTTCAAGACGTTCGACGGAAGGAAATACAATTTCCAGGGTCCGTGCAGATACACGTTCGCCGAACAATGTGGAAACAGCAGCAGTGATTTTACTGTTGAAGTACAACAAGTTCCAACAACGCAGAACCCATCCGTTTCAATTGTGCGCGAAGTGTACGTGATGGCATACGGATACGAAATAACGATTGGCCAACGCAAAGTTGTGACAGTAAGTGGGTTTATTACCTCCACTTTCGTTGTGTCAGTGGGTATTTTTTGATTCCCCAAGCACAATAAAAGGAAAGGTCTTCAGAAGCTGTCTGCACGTACAAAATTGGCAGTAAGTGTTTGCTGGGTGGCAGTGGTAAAATGCATAGAGGTAGATAGAGAAGTTCGCAATAATGATTAAGTAAAGAAGTCATTCACTAAATCCAATACCCGTGAAAATGCAACAGACCATGGCCATCTTTCTGGTTGTGCAAATCGAGCCACAAAATTTCAAAAAACCTTCCGGAGGTTTAAAATCTCCGACTTCTTGTTGTTCCTGTCCGGGATCTTCCCCCAACAACATTAACAGTATTATAACAGTAATTGATTAAATGACACTAATGATAATATGACAACATATAATAATGATTATCATTAGATAAGAACAAATAATTTTTAAGTAACGCTAATTATTTTTGGTGTCGTAACAGCTGAAATGAAACATAAAGATTTTGTTGCTATAATATTATATCACAAGACAGGGCTATACTGGTTATTCTCTTCAAATGCAAGTTGTTTGATCCCTGAGGAAGTTGATAGTAAATTGTTTCGAAAATCGTCAAGTTGGAGACAGTTTTAGTGTAAAGATTCCCGGTCTTCACTTGAAACTGTCTGACAAAGTGCATCGCTGGAAATGTTTAAACGGTTTTTGAAACATGTGATGATGTCCCAAGATTTTAGATAAACGTTGCAGTTAATTATGTTGCGCAACTTACTCCGCTTCGTAATAACGCATTGCAACGTTTTCTTCAAACAAGGTGACAGGACCGTCGACCAATAACACTATCCCCGCCACGCCCCCCTTCAGTCAAGCTATGGGCAACATCCAAGTCACCCTGAGCGGCATTAATGTCCGAGTAGAATTGATAGAATTTTGCGTGGTGATTCTCTACAATGGAGTTAACAGAATTGAGGTAAGCACATTTCAGACAGATCATGAGTGTTGTCACTTTGACATGATGTGCAGCTGTAGTGATTTTCCATGTTTTGCACAGTCAGCTTTATTGATTCCACATTGCTGTGTTTAGACTGTTTGACTGCTTTTTACTTCTAAAATAATATAGTTTTGTGCAGTGCAGTAACGAATCAAAATAACTGCCATCAATTGAACAAAACTAGAGTCAAATTTCTGTATGCTAAGTAAGCAGTGGAAGAAATAACAACTCCTATATGTGGCACTGTTACAGGTGACGATTCCGGCTAACTACCGGAACATGATGTGTGGACTGTGCGGGAACTACAACGGTGTGGAGACCGATGACTTTGAGATGCCGAACGGAAACATCGCCTCCAACGTAAACGAGTTCGGGGACAGCTGGGAGACCGACAACAATACGTATGTTACGTGGATACAAACTATCCATGTCTAGAGATGTCAATTAAAAAAAATTGAAATACGTTGAAATCGAAAACAACGCATTTTTTCATCAGTTGTGTACATGATTATCAACCTGTGTTAACCTTTACAATTGACGTACTAAATATCATTGACAATACCCCGAAATATACATCAGTACAATAATGCCAGTGCTGCCCCAACGGCTGATTGAGCTATGGAAGAGAGTGAGTACGTTAGTGAGTTACAATGGAGTGAATTGTAAATGGTGTTTTGCTTTGAAATTCTATACAGTTTCCCAAAATATAAATTACAAGAAATACATATTACTGAAATCTACTATACTAAACTACTTTACAATTTTGGCGCAATGCGGTTAATGACAATTGCAATAATCAATAACTAATGTGAGAACTTTACGTCAATACTGGTTATATAATTACTAGAAAAAATCTATAATTCCGGTTCTTTAATTTTAAAGCGTGTTTCCATGATTGTTTTGACATTATCTGTCCACCTCAGTTGCCATGCCCGGCGCCGGAAACGTCAGACGTCGACCCAAGAACCGTGTGACCCAATTCATTCGGACCCGTGTAACGTGCACAAAGATCCAAACGGCCCGTTTGCTGCTTGCCATGACGTTGTGGATCCTCAGATTCACTTTGAAACATGCGTCTTCGACGAGTGTGCAACGCAGGGCCAAGGAGTGTTTCTTTGTGCCAACTTAGGGGCATACTATCACTCCTGCATCGGTGCCGGCGTGCCCCCTTTTACATGGCGAACTTCAGAACTCTGTCGTGAGTTCCGTTCTCAGATTCAATCTATTGACTGTTATGAGCTTTAGACTTTCTGTATTTGTATAGCCGGTATAACTGCCTTTCGGCGTAACACACCAGCTTCACAGACACGCGGTTCAGCGGCAGCTGGCTATATTACACCAATCGATTACACTTTCTTATAGATCCGTCAACTAACGACTAGACAATCAACCTCCATGGCGCAAACTGTGCCTTAGATTGAACAGATATTTTACTAATAGGGTTGTATTGCCTGCCATGGATGTAGTTCAAGTTTTGTATTCTCAAAAATCTAACACCTGGAATTAACTCTATCTCTGTTGTCTACAGCTCTGGATTGCCCGGCAAACAGCATGTACTCATCATGTGCAACCGCCTGCCCTGCGACCTGCGTGAACCCAAGGGCCTCAGACAGCTGCAACCTACCATGTGTGGAAGACTGTGAGTGCGACCCAGGCTACGTGCAAAGTGGACTGGACTGCGTACCTCAAACGGACTGTGGTTGCAGCAGCAATAGTGGATACTACCATAAGGTAAGTGTGATTGAATGGCAAAATGCATTTGCTGCAAGCCACCACCATTAATATATCAGCTCGGATTCAAAAGCTGTCTTTGTACGGGTGGATTTGCGTGATGAAGATAACTTATAGATGTACGAGTTTTCAATGAGGCAGTGGTGTCGTTATTACAATTCTACAGCATGTATATGTAAGCAGGATAATAGTGACATTTTGTGATGGACATGTCATACTACAACGTCAGCTAGACTCATTACCATTTCACGCAATTTTAGCTTGGAGCAGTCTGGGAATATAATGGTGAGGAATGTGAATGTCATGCAGGAAACACGGTCGTCTGTGAAGGTGAGAGAATTAAAAAAACTAAGTGCTTGTAAGGGATATTTGCCTGTCGATCGATACTTGATGGTGAGGAAACTGGCAAAGTGAATATCAAAGCAAACTTTAGAATATAAGCAAGAAATAAGAATGTTTTTTCTTGTTCCGCCGGACCAGCCGGAGTGCCGCTGGGTACCGCGGTGGGAGCGGCTGTTGGAGTTGCCGGGATCATGGTGCTTCTGATCGTGGCCTTTGTTCTGGCAAAGATACGGGCTGGCCTGGCGTCAGGGAAGAAGAAGCGTGATGCTAACGCTGTCGGTAGGTCCCTTTAGTTTTGTTCTATCACTTTGCGACATGTTAAAACTTGTAATCAGTATAGTAGAAATTGAATCAGTTATTTTGCATCTATATGTTTCATCCAAGAAAGAAAAGTAGACATTGAATTATCATCTTTCTTGCAAACCATTTTCTGCTTTAGACGGTATATGTAAAATCGCAAGTCTTGTGAAGTCGTTATATATTGCAATGCCACATGTACTACCAACTAGTCAAGGAAAAATTATTTCTATTTTAGCACTAGAAATGCTGAACCTTGCGCTCCGTGGATGCTATCTAACTGTTACAGTATGTCTGCGTGGCCTTATATATAATGGGTCTGTGGATTCTGTTTTCTCTGTCAGGACTGGACAACTACGCATACCAGAGTTGGGGAAAGATGAGCAAGACTGGTATTGCTGACACCAAAGCTTAGAGCGTTCTCCTTCCACCAGGATGACAGCTAAACATACAGAAACAATGTAGAATTCATAAGATTGCTTTTAATCTTGACTAGCCTCCTTATTAGCAGGTTCTACAACTCGGCTTTTGGGGCATCCTTCATAGTGCGATTTTTCCTTCTGTCAATCTCATACCATTTGTATTTGTACCTGTGTGGTTTCTTTTGGCGGCACAGCTAAGAAGGCTATATTTTGACAGTATTCGTAATGGCAAATCTTCTTGAGTTAATTTACCTTAATCAGCATACCAAGCACCAGAACAAAAACAGTAAAGACTCAACGTCTATACTAAGAGACAGGGCTGGGAACCCATTAATCATCAGATTAACCGTTTCAGTACATGCATAACATATAAACTTACAGGCATAGTAGGGAACTTTATAACCATAGCATCCAATATTCCTGTATCAAAGTTAACTTTAAGCCGATTTATGGAAGTCTATCCTCATACCAACAATAGTGAATGCCATCTACACTTAGACAGTGTGTAAAGAGAACTATCATCTTACGAATTCTAGTAGAAGCTCCCTGGTGATGCTTAATGGTGGATATATTGAGCTGAAAGTTAACTATTGGCTTTTTTAATGTTTAAGAGCTCGGATTAGACAGCGAGCATAAACCTATATAATCATTTTGAGATATCTTGATGTTCTCCTAGCGCACTGTTAAATTTGGGCGTAAAGGAAGAAAATAAAACTTTAAATATGTGAGTTTTTAATTGGCAGTAACTGTTGCGTTTTAGTAATTACTTTGTTTATTTATTATTTATTGTTTATTTACCATTTGCACGTATATTAAAAACAATTACACAATCAAATAATAATAATCAAAGAATGTGTTGGGTAGGCCAGAAACCTGGGTGGTTTTTCTAGAGGCCTATCCCAAGCAAAGATAACTTATGACAAAACATATTTAAATTAAACATCAAAATTAAACAATGAAATAATTAAACAATGATTAATTAAACAAAATCAAGACACAGAAATAATAACTGAAGTGTATAAACTAACTAAAACGAAATTAAACAAAAGTCTTATACCTGTAATTCAGGTAGCTGTTACAGACTAAACTGATTAAATAATTAACATAAGAATTAACGAATAAAACAAAATATTAACAATAACAAGGAAAACAAACAAACAAATCAGATTGTAGTTGTACTGGGGTTTTGTAAGAAAAAGTTTTTAAGAAGTTTTTTTTTTAACACAGGAGTTGACTGGCAGTTTTGTAACAGTTGGCTTAACTTATTCCAGACGATGGGGCCTCTATACGCTATTGAGAATTGTTTTTGTGTGGATTTAGTCTTGATCGGCCTTAATTGGTTATGTTGTCTCGTATTGTGCTGGTGAATGTCTGAGTAGAATGTAAAAAAAAGTGTTGAATTGATCTGGTAAACTATTGGTATTATGAACGATTTTATGAACAAAAATGGCTATTTGTAATTTGTTTAAGTCATATACATTTATGATTTTTAGTTCACGAAACAGAGGTGCTGAGTGTGCTGTGAAGTGTGTGTTAGCTGCAACTCTAACAAAATGTTTTTGTAGTTGATAGAGTGGTTTAATTGAAGTTGTGTAAGTGCTCGCCCAAATGAAATTGCAATATGATAGATACGGATATATTAGACTGTAGTATAATGTTATGAATATTCTTCGTGGGAGGAGGGTCTTTATTACTTATTTCTCTAATTAGTCTTTAGTGAATTCTTATATCATACCATTAGTTGTTTAGGCTCTCTGGTGATGCTTAGTAGTTGATATTTTAATGTTAAAGAGCTTGGATTAGACAGCAACCATGGACTTATTCAGACGCCTCGGTGTTCTACACGCGCACTGCTACTCGTAGACTCTGGTGTATAGGAAGGCTGCACGGTTCCTCTTACCTTTGAATTCCTGCGTTTCAGTAGTTGGTGATTTCTATTACTAAAGCACATAGAAGCCTCTCTTCTAAGCATATATACATAATCTCTTTTGATATTTTCTTATATTTTAGAATCTGCCCGTATTTACGGGATACACTTTTTTCTCTTTTTAGTTCCTTACTTCATCTTACTTCAGTTCCTTACTTCACCTTACTTGCATCTAAAAAATATTGCGGTGAAAAAAATGAGGTAATGTGACAATGACTCAATTTGAAGGACACGGGGCTCAATGTGGCTCAAAGTTCAAATTTCTATGCCAAATGATGTACTCGGATCTGGATATGTGCCATTTACGTGCATGTTTTAAAGGGGGAATGAGCAACCGTTGTCTGTAAATTCTTTCTACACTAAATCTACACTAAAAACACACATTCGTATAAACTTACACTCAGCACACACTTTAAATAAAATTTAGTATATATTGTTCTTTACAAGTAAACTGTTGTCTCTTCATTACTGTGTTGTAAGATGTAGACTGACAAGATGTACTGTGTTATGTCTTGTGATGAGACAAGGAACCATCCGGAGTTCCGTACATACGGAATAGAGCGGAGTCATGGGGTCACATATCTGTTGTCTGTGTTTTTTTAAAACCATTCACTGACTGCATGTAACACTGTTATATTCGGCATTTACATGTCTTATGACGGAAAAGATAGTCGTTATGTAACACATTTTAAGACAATTACAAGTACTGGCTCAAAGTTTTGCGGGGTAGAGCGTTCTCCTGCGAGGTCGTATAAAAAGTTCATGACATTCTTATTATCTTAATACAAATGACGCAATATCACGAAATCACCCTTCCAATTTACTGAGCTCCAATTGTTCAAGTTTAAATACTTAGAATAGAATAGAATAGAAAAGAATAGAATAGGATGGTACGAAAAGATTCTCAGACTGATGGGTATGATTATGTTCCGCATCTGAGATTACAGATTATGTTTATGCAATGGTTGGAGGGAGAGGTCATTTGGGACGTCGCAAAGTAGGAACACCTGGAAGCTTTGTATCCATTGTTCAACTGGTGTCACCCAAAAGCGTCTAAAGTATTACAACGCAGGATATCATTATGGTATGATATTATATGATATCATATCTATACGTCCAATATAGCCTACAGCGTATTTTATTTCTCGTTCTCCTTTAAGATCGATGGCATTTTGCGTGAGTTCCTCCCGCCTATTGCACAGTTGAGTTGTATTCGCCCCTTCAGGACATGTGAGGTGAAGGATATGTTCGTCAGGGCACATTTTCCAGATCTTAACACACAACACAACACAACACACAAACAACACACACACACACATACACACACACACACACAAACACACAACACAAAACACACAAACACACACACACAAACACACAACACACACAAACACACACAAACACACAACACACACACACACATACACACACACAAACACACAACACACCCACAACACAAACACACATACACACACACAAACACACACAACACACAAACACACAAACACACAACACACACACACAACACAAGCACACAACACAACACACACACACACACACACACACACACACACACTCAAAGACACACAGACATTTTTTTTTTTCGTCCTGTAATAGACCTGATAACAAATCGTCCATATTTTACAGGACTTTGAAGTGGCGTATGTCAAAGTGTGACTAACATTCTTTGGGCATGTGTGCAAGGTATTCCCACACCAAATTACAGGTCATTCGGATTTAACATTAGGGCACAGGAGTACATTTTTTTCCGAAAAAAAGCCTTATTTCACACAATTCTAAAGTGGCGTATGTCAAAAGCTTGAACGAGTTCGGAGCAGACGCGTACCTGTAGCGCCCCCTGTGGTCTTGTCGTGAACCTGCAGATCAACGTGCTGGTGACAGAAGGACCGAGCGGGCGCATTAGCGCATTCAACGGGCGGAGGTACCCTCTGCCAGGCTTTAGAGGTGGCTAAAAAGAGTAAAAAATGGCCAAATAGAGAGATAACATGCCAGGGGAGTTGGTCCGCTAAAGAGTAAAGTTTTGCGGCCTCTGGCTGACCAAGTCCACTGCCACGTTATTTCTCTATTTGGCCATTTTCTTCTCTTTCTAGCCACTTCCTGAAGCATGGTGGAGGCTTTGGCAGAAGAACGGCGCGTTTCTCCAGCAAATCGCTGCAGTCTCTACCAGACTCCTTTGCAGGCTGAATAGATAGTAGAAATCGGCCTAGAGTCTCTATGTAGTCAATCTGGACACTATAGCCAGCCAACTCTCCTGGCCAACTACATACTTTTTAGGTCGATTTCTACTATTTATGCAGCCTGCAAAAGAGTCCGGTGGAGACTAACATCGCCGGGCGAGGGGACGGACTATGGTACCCACGAGACGCGGCATGTACGCATACTCGATCGCAACACGTCTGTGATTTTATTCTCAATTACTGAATCTGTTAGCACTGGCCAGTTGTCCCTTGGAGAGTCATCTTGAGATAAAATTATATATAAAATCTCTAAATACTGAGGTCATTAAATTATTCAGCAAACGGGGTCTTAGCTAACTCCCCCCTCCCCCCACATCTAGCCTGGTATCCAGTCTTATGTGATTGGGGTGTTCAGGCAGGTTGTGCCTTCGGGGGCTCTAATAGCTTCCCCCGCCCAGTGCAACAGACCGTCCCGGTAGGAGTGTTACGCTAATAAAGCTACGGTCACATCTCGCCGTACGTGCTTCTGCGTGCTGTCTACGTGCAAAAACGTGGACAAACGCAGGGCATCCGTGCGTGGTGAGTACCGCCTCCGTACGGAATCCTATGGATTTTGGAGCACGCAGACACGCCGTAGAACATTAAGTGCATGTAAAACATTTTCTACGTGAGGTCTGCGGATTCACCAACCGTGCGTGCGAGTACGGGCTACGCGCGTGCCCCGTACGTGCCGTGCGGAAGAAGCACGTGTGAGTACGGCCTCCTTACGGTTAAGTTGCAATCGCACAGAGATCGTACGTTGCAAGCACGTACAACTCACTTATCACTTGCGCAAGGTACGAAGCACGCAACCGTTCACGGCCAGACGTGGCATGCAGACCACAGTCTTACACTTCTTGCAACCGTGACCCTGGACGCACTGTAAGGTGGTGTATCACGAAGAGCAAGCTTTGTATTTAACGCAGAACCGGTAGCCAATGCTGGACCCTGATCACCCTCTGCACGACCTTGTTCCCCCTGAACGTGCGACTGCTACAGGGAGACAGCTCAGGAACAGCAACATGTTCACTTTGCATTAAGCTAGGACTCTACGCTTGAAAAGTTTTTTTTTTTTTTTACATTGTGCAGTAATACTCTACAATGAAAGTGATAATAGTTGATATTTGAAAACCCAGGTCTGCTATTTCCTGTTGTAGATTGAATGGTGTTTGTACATATTTGTATATAAATCGTTTCTGCGTACTTGTCCTGTTTTGTTTTTTAACCAATTGTAAAAATCTAATACATAATTCAGGAGTGTATTAGCATTTCCTGCTTTTGTACGATTTTTTTTATTGAAATTGATTAAAAGCCAAGGGGTTAGGTAGATGGTTGACTAGCGGGGTTATACC